ACCAAACTCTGTTGATGCCCGCCCACAGAGGGAGCAATTAAACCAGCCCTGTCCAGAGGGAAATCACTGATTCCAGTGGTTCCCACAAACCTTACCACTTACAGTGTTCTGTGTTTTCAAGTAAACTTGAAAGGCATTCTAGACCACAAGGACTGCAAAACCAAGATGAGCCCTAGGGCTGAAGTATGCCCAGAGACAATGCACCTGGGTGGCATGTGATGTACTGAGACACCAGCTGGGGCAGCCAAGAAAATGCTGACATCGCCCCTCCCTAAACCCAGGCTGCACAGCTCACATGGCTCCAAAACAGACTTCTTCCTTCCACTTGAGGGGAGGGGAGGAGAGGGAAAAGTAGGGAGGACTTCGTCTTGCATCTTAGATACCAGCTCAGCCACAGCAGGATATGGCAATGGTCAGAGTCACGAGGCTCTTGTTTCAGATCCTAGCTCCCAGACAACATTTTTAGGCCCATCCTGAACCAGAAGTTACTCACTGCCTTGAAGGGAAGGACCCAGTCCTGGAACGATTCATCCCCTGCTAACTGAAGAGCTCTTGGGCCCTGAATAACCAGCAGCAATATCTAAGTATTACATCAAGGTCCTTGAAAGAGCCTCTGAGACTTGCTGACTTCAGGTGAGACTCAGCACATTCTCAGCTATGGTAGCTGTGGTGCAAAAACCTCTTTCTTCTTAAGAAAAGCAGAGGGTAAAGTAAACGGGACTTGGTCTTGCATCTTAGGTATCAGCAGACCTACAGTGGGTGGAGCAACAAGCAGGCTCTTGGGGTTCATGATTCCAAAGCATCAACATCCCTTCACAATAAACATCCTTCATCATATTCAACATTCCTTCATGAATTCAACATTCTCTTTATGATAAAAGCCCTCAAAAAGCTGGGATGGAAGAAACACACCTCAACATAATAAAACCCATATATGACAGACCATTCAGCTAGTATCATACTGAATAGGAAAAAACTGAAAGCCTTTCCTCTAAGATGTGGAACATGGCAACGATGCCCACTGTCACCATGTCATTCAATATACTACTGAAAGTACTAACTAGATCAATCAGACAAAAGAAAGAAATAAAGGTCATCCAAATTGGAAAAGAAGACAAGTTATCCTTGTTTGTAGATGATTGATCTTATATTTGGAAAAACATAAAGACTCCACAAAGAAATTAATAGAACTGATTAATTTGGTAAAGTTGCTGGATACAAAATCAACATGCAACAGTCAGTAGCATCACTATATTCCAAAAGTGAACAATGTGAGAAATAAATTTTAAAAATAATAGCATTTATGATAGCCACACATAAAATTAAATAACAGGAATTAACCGTATAAAACACTGATGAAAGAAATTGCAGAAAATGCCAAAAAATGGAAAAATATTCCATGTTCATGAATTGTCAGAATCAATATTGTTAAAATGTCCATACTACTCAAAGCAATCTACAGATTTGATGGAATCCCTATCAAAATGCCTATCACATTCTTCACAGAAATAGAAACAAATCCTAAATTTATATGGAATCACAAAGGACCCAGAATAGCCAAAGTTATTCTAAGCAAAAAGACAAAAAAATATTGGAAGAATAAAATTACCTGACCTCACATTATGCCACAGAACTATAGTAATCAAAACAGTACTCACATAAAAAATAGACACATAGACCAATGGAACAGAATAGAGAACTCAGAAACCAATCTGCACATTCACAGTGAACTCATTTTTGACAAAAGTGCCAAAAAATACACTGGAGAAGAGACAATCTCTTTAATAAATGGTGCTCAGAAAACTGATTATCCATATGCAGAAGAATTAAACTAGATTTCTATGTGTCACCATATACAAAACTAAAATCAAAATGGATTAAAGACTTAAATATAAGACCTCAAACTATGACACTACAAAAAGAAATATTGAAGAAAATCTCCAGGACATTGGTCTGGGCAATAATTCTCAGGCAATACCCCCAAGCACAGACAACCAAAGAAAAAAGGGACAAATGATAGCACACCAAGTTCAAAAGCTTCTGCACAGCAACGGATACAATCAACAAAATGAAGAGACAACCCACAGAATGGGAGGAAATATTTGCAAACTGACAAGGGGATTAATAACAAAAATATATCAGGAGCTCTAACAACCCTACAGGAAAAAAAATCTAATAGTTTGTTCAAAAAAGGAGCAAAATATTTGAATACATATGTCTCAAATGGAAGACATACAAAGGGCAAACAGGCATATGCAAAGGTACTCAACATCACTGATCATCAGAGAAATGCAAATGAAAGCTACAATGAGATATATCATCTCACCCAGGTAAGACAACTTATATCCAAAGACAGGCAATAACAAATACTTTTGAGGATGTTGAAAAAAGGGAACCCTCGTACACTGTTGGAAGAAATGTAAATCAGTACAACCACGATGAAGAACAGTCTGGAGGTTCCTCAAAAACCTAAATTTGACCTACCTTTGATTCAGCAATCGCATTGCTGGGTATATACCCAAAATAAAGGCAATTAGTATATTGAAGGGATATTTGCACTCCTATGTTTGTTGCAGCACTATTTTCAGTAGCTAAGATTTGGAAGCAAGTGGAATGTCCATCAACACATAAGTTTTGTTTTTGTTTTTTTTTTTCTTTTCCTTGGAAACAAGTTTAATTTACACCTGTAACAGACTGTTTTAGAAAAAAAAAAATTCACAGGACTAGATTCTTTAGTTACACAAATATAAAGCGAGTATACACCTCTTGACTTTGAAAAAACTATGGAATCTCAACAATTTTCAGTGCAGAAGCTGCAGGTTGAAATATTATATATCCTGTATGTGAATGTAAATTGAGTATATTTACTTTTAGAATCACTTGCCTTTGGAAAGTTGACAGTGATAGTAGCCATTCTTTTATAAAAACCTCATGCCCCACCTACAATGATGTGGTTAGGCTTTCCTGACCCAAGAAACACATTCGCAATAGTTGCTGTACATTTCTAAAATATAAAACTATTTAGTCTTAACTTCCTATGTAACACATAAGTTAATAAAGAAAATGTGGTACATATACACAATAGAGTACACAATGGAGTTCACTCATAAAAAGGGATGAGATTTAGTCATTTGCAACAACATGGATGGAACTGGAGATCATTATGTTAAGTGAAGTAAGCCAGGCACAGAAAGACAAGCATGGCATGTTCTCACTTATTTGTAGGATTTAAAAATCCAAACAATTGAACTCATGGACAAAGACAATAGAGGGATAGTTACCAGAGACTGACAATGGTAGTGGAAGGTGGTGGGGAGGTAGATATAGTTAATAGGTACAAAAAATAACTAGAAAGAATGAATAAGACCTACTATTTGATCACACAACAGGATAACTATAATTAATAATAACTTAATTATGCATTTTAAATAAAGAGTGTAATTGGCTTGTTTATAACTCAAAGGATAAAATGATTGAGAAGATGGATATCCCATTCTCCATGATGTGGTTATTTCACTTGGCTTGTCTGTATCAAAACATTTCATGTATCCCATAAATATATATACCTAATATGTACCACAAAAATTAAAAATGAAAACATTGAAAAAAAATACATTATAAAATGCCTTCAGAGAAAGTTGTGTTCTACAGCTTAGATAATATTTTTACTTAAGAAGGAAGGTTACCTAACAAAGTTTTCAACCTGAGGCTCAAATTTCTTGAATATTAATTAAATTCTTTTAAGGAAGACATTTTTCAAACCCAAGGAAATGAAAATAAGTGATGCTTTTTCCTAAGTAGCTACAAAAAGTTGGAGAAAACTACACAAAACTTATTTAGGGGCAATACTTATATCTCAAGTAATGTAGGTATCCAAACTCTGATAATAATTCAGCCCAAATCCTTCACTCCACCTGAAGTGATGTTTGTAAATATTAAAGATGACACCAAATCATTTGTATTTACCAGCACTGCATTTATAAAATCACAGATGCATTGCATGGAAATGTTCTTGATTTATATTTATCTCAAGTTAGCTAAATCCAACATGAATTAAAGAATTCAAATTGTCACAAACACACAATGTTGGTTGTGATTGTCCAAGGTATATGTGCATGTAGAAGAAAGATTTGAAATAATTCCAAAATATTGCATGGTTAAATTGCCCATAGAAAGTACCTAAAATCTCCCTAAGTATGGTGTTCACTCCTTACTTATCATATGGCTAATTTTACCACTCAAAATATAAACTTTTTAAATATTTAAATATATTTTTTAGGGATATGGTCTCACTATGTTTCCCAGGCTTGTCTCAAACTCTTGGCCTCAAGCCTCTAATGATCCTCCTGCCTCAGCCTCCTGAGTAGAGGAGACAATAGGCACAAGCAATCTTGCCCAGCTTTTAAATAAATGTGAAATTAAAAATTAAAGGGCATCGAGGAAAGCTCTATTTGACATTTATTGCAACTGATGACCTATGGACAGAGAAAGTCACTTTGTACAGCAAGAGTCCCATGAATTATTTATAAAAATCCTAAGTGCTAACTAACACTTATTGAATACTTAAAGCAGCATCAAATGCTTCACATACATTGTCTTTTTAGCTTTCTCTGTAATAACCTACCTTGGGCTAGCATAACTGACTCCATTTTAGCTGTAAACTCCAACCTGCCTTCCCCCTCCTTACCACAGTCTCTTTGGATGCATAACTGGGTCGTGCTGCACTTAGAGTCATTGAAGTGTACTGTTCTTAACACTTGTAACCATTGTAACCGCATCCTGCTTGGCATACCTCCCCACTGCTATTGTAAGAAAAAAGTTTCCCTTTGACCATTGTGTAGAAGGAGCCTGATCTCCCCGCTTCTTGGTAATTGTATGGGCAGCTCTTTCCTCTAAATGGCTTTTCTGCTTCTGTAAAATTCTGCTTCAGCTAAGTACTCCCCCAACAACCCAACCTAAATCAAGGTATAAATGATAATCAGGCCCCTCCCTCAGCCGAGAGAATTTTGAGCATTAGCCGTCTCTCAGTCGCCAGCAAATCAATAAAGGACTCTTAATTTGGAACTCAGAGCATGGCACATTCCTTCTAACTTGCTCAGTTACAACATCTCAATACATTATAAGTTATTATGTCTATTACGTACAAACGACTAGGAGCCCAAGATGGTCAAGTGACTCACAATTCTGAAAGCTAGTAAGAGTCAAAGCAGTATCACCCTAGGTCTCTCAGTTAAAAGCCAAGAATCTCAATGCCTTTGACATTTTGCCTCTGAGCTAACATGACAGTTATGAAAAATTAGTTCTTTTAGGTTTTATTTAATTAAACTATAAGCTCAGAAAAGCCGAGACCATTTCTGTTGATTATATTATTCACTCATGTATTAATGCATTTAACAAACATTTATTTAATGAAGATCCCTTGGGCATTAGAAATTTAAAACAAGACCGAAAATAATTCCTGTATCATAAAAATTATATTCTAGTAAGGAGGACAGTAGTATAATAAGAAAAATACACAAATAAGATGTCTATTAGTGATTAGTTCTATGAAAATTATAAAATATGATAGAACTGGGATAAAATTTAGCTAGAGAGGTCAAGTAGGACCATTTTTGCAGAAGGAACGTTGGAGTTTATAAATGCACAAGTCTTTATCAGCATTTTAAAGACCAAATTTCACATCTGTCATTTTAATTCTGATTAATTCAATTTCAATTTTTTCTCTCCATTTCTTTAATTACTTCAGATGAAAACTCATAAAGCTTCTCAGATTGAAATATATCCTGTTACTAACATTCTACTTTTTCATCACCCTTATTACTTCATAGTAAGAACATGTTTTGAAAAGAATGAGCTTCTATAACATTATAACTTCAAGGAAAAGATGATTATTTTACCCACTGCTTGTCCCTTGCCAATTCAAAGGGCCTCTTTCATCATTGTTAGTCTTGCTGAACATGGTGCTAATAGCGAGGGAAGAACAATCTGCTTTACCGGAAGAGACATATCAATTCATGAGATAGTGGTGAGTTTCTTTCTTCCCTAATGCTAGAAAAAGTATTAACCAAGCAGGTGCATTAGGGAAATGTATCAGAATATGCAACAGTCATTTGGGCTCCATCATTTTTTTAGCTTTCCTGAATCGAATAACTGTCACTACTCATATGAACCAAATGCTTTCCTCATCTTTATCTTAAAATATAACAAAAAAAATTAGACTAAATGTTTTTTAATCACAACATTTATATCACTTTCATAATACACCACTATGTTTATTGCTTGCTCCCTTTACTAAGGCAATCTCTGAATTAAATTTTGGTTTGTTATATTTCCAGATAGCATCAAAGCCTGAAATAAAATCTCTCTACATAGAGGCAGTTAGAAACCTACCTTTCACTGGGGAAAATGTTATCACTGAGGAGAAAGACTTTAACAATATTATTCCTTTAGAGGGCAAGATAGCCAACAACTATTTGTAATTATATATTGTTCCACTATGGCCAAACTATGAATAAAACAATATGTATATTCATGTTACCAAAAAGGTATAGCACATTTTTTTCTTTTGCCTCCTATTAATTGAAGCCATATAATCTCTAAAGGCGAGAATAGAGCCATCTGCTCTCTCTTCTCCCTGTAATTAGTTTGTGTTGGCTCTGACAAGGTGTTACTGGAGATTTATTGCAAAGAATTTCACTGAGCTGGAACCCAGGTCCTATTGTTTAAACATGGCCAAATCTGAGTGCCCTATGGCTTGTGTACATGGTTTTTCAATGGGCTAATTTCCAAAAGAAAGCTCAGAATCAGTAAAAGAGGCATGATCCAACTGATGCCCTATTCAATGGACTCTTGCTGAAGGCAAGATTATGTTATCAAAACTCTTATTTTGTTAACTTTTTATTGTTATCTTGTCTGAACAATCAATATGTCTTTCTAAATTTTTTTCTCACAGATGTTCAGTCCCCTTTCTCTAGGACTTTCTTTGTAAGCTCCATTAAGGAAGGTTGTTTAAAGAATAAATGTTTCCTGTTTTCCCCACTTGCTGTCTCTTTGAAATGTAGTTAAATAGTGATGCTTTTCCTCCTGAGAATGTTATAATAATTAAGTTCACCTGAAAACATACAACCTACCAAGATTGCATCAGCAAGAAATAGAAAACCTGAACAGACCAATAACAAGTATCAAGATTGAAGCAGTAATAAACTCTGCCAACAAAGAAAAACCCAGGACCAGATGAATTCACTGCTGAATTCTCCTAAACACATAAAAACAACTAACATCAATCTTCCTCAAACCATTCTAAAACAGAGATGGAGGGAATTCTCTGTAACTTATTCTCTGAGGTTAGCATGACTCTAATACCAAGACCAGAGAAGTTCACGGCAAAAAGAAAACTATAGGCCAATACTCCCGATGAACATAGAAGTGAAAATCCTCAACAAATATTAGCAGACCAAATCTAACATGTTAAGAAAAGATAATACACCGGGATAAAGTGAGATTTATCTTATGGTTGCAAGGATGGCTCAATATTTGCAAATCAATAAACATGATGGATCACATTAACAGAATAAAGGACAAAACATATGACCATCAATAGATGCAGAACAAACATTTGACAAGAGTAAATCCCTTTATAACAAAAACTCAAGAAACTCAGCATAGCAGGATCACACCTCAGAGTAATAAAGGAATATATGACAAACACCATACTGAAAACGTTTCATCTAAAACCTCGAACAACAGGATGCTCTCTTTCACCATTCCTATTCAATATAGCACAGGGAGATTAGCAAGAGCAATTAGGCAATAAAAATAAATAAAGCACAGTCAAAGTGGAAAAGCAGAAGTCAAATCGTCAATCATCTCAGATGTCATACTCTGCATTTTATTTCTGGCATGTATTGCACTTTAAAAACTGTTCAGAAGGACAACTGCTGTCATTTTGATTCCCTCATAGCTAGATCCCCAGCCAAATCTAAGACTGTGTTTCACTGGGGGTAAATGCACGTGTGTGTGTGTGTGTGTGTGTGTGTGTACATGTACACATGTGACCTGCATACTGGGTATCATCCAAGGACTTGCAATGACATTAAAATTGCCTCGATACTTTTATCCATTTGAGCTATCACTTTTTGTTTCAGGAGCTGTGAAATGTGTTTGATACATTATAACCATGTTATTTGATAATATATCACTACTATTACATTGTAAATTATCAATCACAAGAAGAGTCAAGCCATCAAGTCCCAAAAATAGAGTTGTGTGAAGTAGAAAGCATTAAAGTCAAAAACCCTCATGTATTTCCTTTCTGTATTACACGTCATATGCCCAAGGTCCACCTCACCACTTCCTCAACACTCCATGCCTGGTCTTGGCTAGCGATTTAACCAAGCTTAATTCATTAACTAATTGATTCCACCTAACACAAATTCTGCAAACATGTTTTTTGCAGAATGGGACAAACAAATTAGGGAAATACCTTGTCAACCAAGGGTAATAGGTTCCTTTACTACTGATTTAGAGGACGTAAAACAATAAACCATATTTTGATTCTTCGTCAAATGAGGGACATTGTACATATTGTTTTTCAAATTCATTTGATTATGATACTTATTTCCCTCCCTCGAAGATCTACCTCCTAGGATTAGTGATTTGTGGAATGGACTTTAGGAAATGCTGCTACAAGTTATTCTATTCTATTCAGAACCTGTCTTTAAAAATGTATAGTAATTAGATAATTCAGGATGTATTAATACAATATCAGCATATATCATGGAGTAGCAGAATGGGCACAGAAGCTGCTATTGTTTTAGTGTGTCCCACAGATAATCAAGTGTTAGAAACTTAATCCCTAATGTAATAGTGTTGGAAGGTGAGGGCTAATGGGAGGTGTTTATGCCATTATAAAAGAACAAGTTCAATCCTCTCTTGGGCTTTTTTGCCCTTTAGCCCTTCATCATGTGATGGCACATCGTGAAATTCTTAGCCAGATCCAGGTGCCTTGATCTTGGACTTCCTGGAATCCTGAACTGTGAACCAACAAATTTCTGTTTATTATAAATTAACCAGTCTTAAGTTTTCTGTTATAGCAGAACAGAGCAGACTAAGACAGATGAAAGCAGAAGTAAGCTGAAATAATACTTTGTGTGTGTGTGTGTGTGTGTGTATGTATATTTAAACTTTGAATATATATAAATATATATAATCTATAAAAATATGTACAACTTTGAACATAAATATGTAGTATATAAAAATGTTAGAAAAATATTTTATAAAATATAGTTTCCCCCATAATCTCTGAAGATTAAGATACCCTTTGCTTTTAATATTTACTAGTAGCTGTTTTTCCCCTGTTGTAGATCCCCCCAAATTAATCTGATATCTAAAAGTTAGAAAACAAACCAGTATTCTAGATAGATTCAACTTCTCTTTAATCAGGCCAAAGAATTTTCACCTTAATTATAGAAGAATGTCTTCCTCAAGTTTCTATACAAATATCATGTGACCCACATCTTACTTGGTTGTTTTTAGATTCTTAGTCTCCATAAAAGAACAAGACCGAAAGGTGAGAAAAGTCAGGTGAATGTTCTGAATGGAATGTAATAAAAAAAGAATCTAACACTCCATATGGAACTAAGTTTTCTTTAAGTGTGAAAATGAGAGAAAAATAACCTATAGTGTTGTTATTATTGCCTGTAGGATTTTAGAAGTTTCAAAGCTAATTCACACATACCACTTTCCTCCAAAACTTTTCTAAATTGTACATATACTCCATGGATTATAATTTTTTCCCATATAATGATGATAAATGTCAAAACACAAAACATTTAGATAACCTGTATAAAGCCACAAGGAATATCATGACATTCATACAGGGAGAGAGTTGGATTAGATGTATCTGAGGAGCAGATCAAGATCTAACACTATTGGTTTCTATAATATACTGATATTTCTTCTAGTCACAACTTGCTTTCAACAACATCAAGAAGGATGACAACAACAAAGACACCAAGATTGTTTCTCTTTAATAATCTCAATACTAACCGCACCGAACACCTTGATTAATTTCTAAATCAACCATTCATCTTTGCATCAAATATGTCAAGTCAGTCTTTGGGTGACTGACTTGGAGTTGATTGCTTGTGGCCCTTTTGCCTGCACGTGGATAGACAGTATAGCACTGCTAGTCTGCAATAGTGTTATGTATAATTCTGTTACCAGTGCATGAACCAAAATACAATGATATGCAGATGCTTAATACATTAAGTAAATGAACAACATGTAAAATACGTAAATAATTAAATGTCTGGTTCAATAATTCCTGGCATATGAATTGGGAAAGATTTATAGCTTTGTAGAACTGTAAAACTAACACTCAAAATGGCTCCTTGCCACTTACCACTATGAGTTCAAATCTGTGCTATAAAGTCTTTAGTAAACAAAGTTTGGTGGTAATGTCAGACACCTGTTAACCTCAATTAGCATGGATATGTGATAATATCTCTTGGAATTTCTACTTGGATTGTTTGTAAAGAGGGGCACCAGATAATCAGTTGTCCAGACGAGAAAACTATAAAAAATACAGGTTACTGATATGTCTCTATTTCTTAGTTTGTTCAGAAACTGCTCTGCAGATTGAGAACTGGAAGCAAGTCTTTGGTCACAAAGTGCATTTCTTAAAAAGATTAGGTGGATTTTGCCAAAATAAAATGGAGAATAATACATTCCAATATTTTCATATGTTTATATTTCTTAGTCATTTAAAACAGTTCTAAGCTATTATTCTCATTGTGTAGTACAGGAAACCAAATCTGAGACAGGTTAAGTAACCAGAACAAGATTTACAAACCAAAAATGGCAAATCCATAATTCCAATTCAAATATTTCTTACTATAAGACCCAATGCCTTTTAAAAAAATTTGTATGGGTACATAGTAGGTATATATATTTATGGGACACATGGAATGTTTTGATATAGGCATGCAAAGTTTGATAAGCACGTCATAAAGAATGAAGTATCCATCCCTCAAGCATTATTCTTTTGAGTTACAATCCAATTACACTCAAGTTATTTTAAAATGCACAATTAAGTTATTATTGATTATAGTTACCGTGCTGTGCGGTTAAATAGTAAGTCTTATTCATTCTTTCTAGCTACTTATTGTACCCACTAACTATACCTACCTCTCCCCCACCTCCTACTACCCTTCCCAGCCTCTGGTAACCATCCTGCTACTCTCTATCTTCATGAGTTCAATTGTTTTGAATTTTAGATCCCATAAATAAGTGAAAATGTGTGATATTTGTCTTTCTGTGCATGGTTTATTTCACTTAGCATAAGCCCTCCAGTTCCACTCATGTTGCAAATGACTGGATCTTGTTCTTCTTTATGGCCGAATAGTACTCTGTTGTATATAAGTACTACATTTTCTTTATTCATTCATCTGCTGATGGACCAGGTTACTTTCAAATTTTGAGTATAGTGAACATTGCTGCAACTTCAGTGCCTTAAGTGCTAAGACCTATTACCCCTAATAAATGAGAAGTGTCATCTAATACAAGAGAGGACTTTTCTGAAACTCTGAAATTGTATTACTGTAATTTGTACTAAATGAATAGCCAATTGTGTGTCACTCCCATTTTATCTCATGTATCAACTTATCAATATATAGATATAAAATTCAGAACATTGGATTCTTTACTACCTGTGATAACTGACCAAGTCAAATAACCCTTTTCAGAACTCAGTTTCTGCCTTAATAAAATAAAAGGGCAGGAACTATGATCTTTAAGGTCCCTTTTATATTAAGCACTGTTCAAAATTCCATCGTTTTTCCTTTATGCTTAAGAATATGATTTTAGAACTCTTCTAATACATGATTCTTTGATAAAATGGGATCATACTATGAATAAATAAATAAATTTACATTGACATTAAGTCTTTCCAAGTTATATATTATAGATCTGATTCATCTGTTTTAAACATGGCATAGTGCTTCATACAATTTCATGGTATTCCACAGTGCCTCGAGTTTATTTAGACATACTTCCATACAAGGGTATTTATATTATTACTTCCATTGTTCTATTTCTGTTTTGTTTTTGTTTTGTTTTGTTTTTTGCTTTTATAAGTAAAGCTAATGTGTGCATGTGTGTATGAAATTAGATTTTATATATATGCAATATACACATATGAAATACATGGCATAGACATATTCATCTATCTATTTATATGCTTTATACAATTTGGTTAGATTCCCAAGATTTCTAGTGTTAGTAGCTGGGTCAAAAGAGATGAACGCTTTAATTTCCTTACTGGTTTATTTTACTTAGCAAAAGCCCTCCAGCTCCATTCATGTTGTTGCAAATGACTGGATCTTATTCTTTTTATGGCTAAATAGTACTCTTTTACTGATACTTATCCAAAAATATTGCAATAGTTTACATTACTATTTGAGATATTGTATGAGGCTACTTTGGGTTGCAAATAAAAGAAAATGTCAATTTAAGTTTATTTAAATAAGAAAATTCACTTTGTCGTGTAACAGAAGCTCAGAGGATGAAGAGGGCTGTGCTGTGGCCTATTTTTCCTCCTGTTAATTCTATTCTCATAGAGCTCTCCAAGGTGATTTCAAGATGACAGCTGCAGCTCTTCCTGGTGTCCATTCTAGGCCTGAAACCACTCAGAGACAGAAATGAGCCTCTTGACCTATTTTTTAAGAGTGTGCAAATCTTCTGCAGAATTTTTTTCTTAGCAGATTTCTCCTCTCTCATTTCCCTGAATTATGTCAGAAATCCATGCTTAAATCAATGACTGGGAAAGGGAATGATTCATCAGGAGTTAACCCAGATTCAGTTCTATGGCCAGCATATTCTAAAGTATATGGGTACACTAAGAGGAGAAACAAAACTGAACAAAATTGGTTGTTTTTAGAAACAATTATGTAATTGGTTGTGGTTAGGCAATCAACAGTGTCTGCAACAGTTATTTTTGGTCTTGAGGGGAGGATTTATAACTATATCATGGGCATAATGGTATCATATTTCAATATGCATGTCCCTGGTTACTACTGTAGTTAAGCCTTTTTTCACATATTTATTGACCTTTATCAATTCTTCTCAGTTAAAAGTCTTTTTGTATCTCTTTATCATTCTATTAAAATGAAACACTTGTAAATTAATAGGAGTTCTTTGAAGAATTAATAGGAGTTCTTTTAAGACTTTGTGTGTCAAATATTTTACAAAAAAGTTCATAGTCTGTAGTTAGACTTTGATTTATTTTACCTCTTTTTTTTCATGAAGAAGATTTCTTCCCCACCCCCTTCCTTTATGAATTTCAAATTTGTATCTTGCTTAAGAAACCAAAAGTTGTAAAAATATTTTCCTGTGACTGGGTAAGAACAATCTAATCAAATCATTTTTTTATCTTCATCTGTTTTGACGTAAAAGTATTATGATAAATTTGAGGGAAGTTGCCATTAGGTAATTATTTATCAGAACATATAAAGGATTAGAAAGCAGGATTTGTTCAGGATTCAGTAAGGCCTTCCCTGAGCCCAATCTCAATATAAATATGTCTTCTATCATGTTATTGTTTTTTTTTTTTGTTTTGTTTTGTTTTGTTTTGAGACGGAGTTTCACTCTTGTTACCCAGGCTGGAGTGCAATGGCGCGATCTCGGCTCACCGCAACCTCCGCCTCCTGGGTTCAGGCAATTCTCCTGCCTCAGCCTCCTGAGTAGCTGGGATTACAGGCACGCACCACCATGCCCAGCTAATTTTTTGTAGCTTTAGTAGAGACGGGGTTTCACCATGTTGACCAGGATGGTCTTGATCTCTTGACCTTGTGATCCACCCGCCTCGGCCTCCCAAAGTGCTGGGATTACAGGCTTGAGCCACCGCGCCCGGCCATGTTATTGTTTTCATTACAACTTAGTTTATCTACAGTATTTATAATAATTTGTTAGTTCATATTTATTTACTAGTATATGTTCTTCTGTTTAATATCTATCTCTCAAACTAGAAAATTAGCCCGTAGCCAAAAAGGACTACTCTTGCTTTATTCATTGCTGAGTCTTTAGGATACCCGGGGCTGGTTGCCTAGTGCATAGTAAATGTTCAATAGTGTGATGAAATGAATTAATTGAAACAAAATGAAGTAAGGAAAGAAAATATAAGGACAGGAAACCCTGCTTTGCAGGCAAATGCAAGAAAGGAAATATTACTGTGGAGAGGCTTTATCTAAGACCTAGTTGCCAAATTGTTCCAATTTGACAGTATAGCTTAAAAATGGACAGTTATAAAAATGCTTTTCTGCTTTGACTCAATAATTCGGTAATAATAAACTATCCTGTGGAAATGAGTAGAGAAGCAACCAAAGACTTTCATATAATAAAATTTTTGAATTGTTATTTTTAATAGTGGAATAATTAATTAGAAATAATGTAGAATCCTCAAAAAAGATAGTTTTCTACAAACAATCATAGAATACAAAAAACAATGACATGTCACAATTAAGTTGACAAAATATATATAATGACCTACACAATGCTTATGATAAAGTGTTAAATAAAAGTGGCAAAATACATCATAAAAAAATTGGAAAAGAAAGATCGAGAGTATTAAAAGAAGAACTTTAATGATTTTCATTTTCTTCTTCATAACTTTTATGCTTCCCAAATATTCCACCTGGATCATGGGTTCCTTTTGTAATCAGTAAAAAGTAAATATTATAAAACACACGAAGACACATTTCTCAAAAGTAACACTGGCATAATTGGGTTTTTCTAAAGCAGGGAATTATATATAATTGTTTTCCAGTCCTGCTCATCCACTCAACTACATCCAGTTCACTTGAATTTCCTTAATATCCTACCGGTGAGTGGTGTTGTTTCCCACATTCTGATTGGTATTTAACATAGATTTTTCTTATCATCCTATTTTCAATAACCGTATTTAATAAATGAAAAGGAGAGAGAGAGGGAGAGCTCTGTCTAAATGCAGGCACACGAAGCAAGTAGAATATTTCACTCATTTAATTAATTTTCTTCAAGATCGTCCACATAGTTCTGGAAAATTAAAATATGTATTATATTTACGTCTCTTTTTCTCACCTTTGTTTGCATAAAATAAAGACTTGCAAAAAAACTGGTTAGATTTTAAAAGACTTGTGAATATTAGACCAAACAACAAAGGAAGGCCCTCATAGGGGTAAGCCTCTAATAAGAACTGGACCAACTTCCTTCAGTTTTCACTTCTGAAATATATCTTCCCAGTATTTATTTCTATTCTCTAACAACTTAAAGCAGAAATAATATTTGCCACTTGTTAATCTTTATATAAAGATAAACAGTCTGAGGCAATGTGGACGTAGTTACAGAAATATAGACCTGACATTTTTAATTGAAAAGAGCATAGTCAAAGAGTAATGAAATATAAAATTTTATGAAGAGAAATTAAATAAATTATGTTATATCTATTCTTTGGGGTATTAGTCTGCACTTACCTAGATAAGATAAATTTACATTTTTCGCATGAAGCAATAATGCCAATATATTAAAGAAGAAATTTTAAAACTATAAAACAATCAAAAATTTAAAGTAAAAAATAAAGAAACTCCACTTCCTAATACTATCACATTGGTGATTCAAACATTAACAAATGAATTTTGAGAGGACATATGCATTCAGCCCATCATATTTTATCATTAGCCCTTATAATTCCTGTCCTCACATGTGAAATGCCCTAATTTCATATCAACCATCCCAAAAGTTTTAACTCATTGCAGTATCAACTCTAAAGTCTAAAGTCTAAAGTCTCATGTAAATAGTATCTAAATCAGATACAGGTGAGACTCCAAGTATAATTCAGATAATTCTTCTGGAGAAGATCCTCTCCATCTGTGAACCTGTGAAACCAGGTTAGTTATGTGTTTCCAAAACCCCAATGTTACGCACAGCAATTCGCCTCTAATGGCCTTCTAGAAAACAGCATTCCTATCGTCACCGACACTTCAAGCACTACTGGAGTTGCTAGATCATAAGGCTGAAGCAGCAATGCATATTTCACAGCTGCCTGAACCTATTGCAGAGACTTTTCTTTTTTATTTTTTAATTTTCTTTTTTTTTTCTTTTTTTTAAATTATACTTTAAGTTGTGGGGTACATGTGCAGAATGT